GCCCCATGAATGGAAAGGCATATAGTTCATTTCTGAATGAATGAAAGACCAAATAGGTAATAAATATTATTGGTACTAAAGAGCTCCAGGCAACTTGTTCAAGGTCACCTAAAGTAACCACTAAAGTAACACATGAAGGAAAAAATAACAAGGGCTCCAACCATAACTTTCTTCTCCTCCACAGTGGTGGCTCCTCATGATGCAAATGTCCTGGGGGCACAGAGGCCTGCCACAGGGTCCGATCACATGGGGCGCCCCTCTCTGGCCACACTCCCGTTATTTTTATACAAGTGAAATCAGGTCTAGATAAGCACCGAGGCACGGTAAAGGAGGGCATCTCAATCTTGTCACACGTTCCTGTCTAGAAAATAAAGGCTGGGAAAATGAGGGTACAACAGGAATAATTTCCTTGAGTTAAGTGAATGTATGAAAAACTCAAAGTTCCTTCTTATGATTTTGAGCAGGTGAAGTATTTACTCCTCTTTTATGAGAACATTGGGCCCAGAGTGTGGCAAAGAATAGTGTTTAAAAATGCTGCTTTAACCCTCTCTGTTTTCTCGACCCAAGGGCACCCAGCTTCTGGCAGCAAAGACTTGGGGTCCAGACCACTCAGAGGTATAACTTTTGGGGGAAATCCAGCGGTTGAGTACAAAGAAATAAATCCTGAAAGAACTAGAATCAGCTGTCAGGTTCCCTGTATACCTAGTAGCCTACAAGATACAAAACTAGAAAAGAATTGGAATTATCATCTAAGGGTGTACAGAAAAACTCTAGAAGGAAATTAAAGTCCAGAAGACAAGTCAAAAGAAAATGTTAGTGATTATATAAGGAACAGAGACTAGAAACATTAATAATAAAGACATAAATACTTCAGAGTTGTAAGTTCATCAAAGTAACATTGTGTAAAGAGCAACCACATGACACAAATTCCCAAACAAAGCTTTAAACCTTCCTTGGCCTTCAAAAGTCATGAGACCTTTTTTTGGCTGAGACAAGAAATGCTTTAGTGAGACAGGGAAAAAGAACTCCCAGACCTCTAGGTGGCTCCCATTTTTAAACAACTCCAGGGCTCATCTACCTTAACAAACGGTCAGATGAAATCTAGCTCTTCATGCGAGTCACACCAACAGCTGGACAGTGCTAAGCTCCTGGGGGCGGTAACTCTCCTTTCTCTACTCCAGTTTCCCTGCCTTCTTTTCAAACCTTGCACTGGGCACCCATAGCTGCTGAGTAACGTGTTATCACGTGACATGTAAAACAATGACAGGGTAAGATTTTTTTCTTTCAGTAATCCTGTGCTGATGAAAAAAGCGTAATTATTTTAATGATATACTTAGAAAAAAGGATTATCCACACCAGAAAAATCACAAGGGTACCACTAATTAAAAGGTGTCTCAATTTATTACTATAAGTTTTTCCACAGAGCCCAAATGTATTAATTTTACCTTACATCTGCAAAGGCTGTTTCGTATTATACATCAAACCAGCAAAAAAGGAACACAGGGGAGTATCGGCCTGGTTTTTTTGTTATGAAGAGCAGATTTGACAGTGATGAGAAGGCATTCCAAACAAAATGTAAACTGGCAGTACTACCTCATTCACTACAACAGTAACTACTGAGCACCACTACATACACACAGAACACACACTCCCCCCACCCCCAGGCTGTGGTTATATACTGGCAAATAAACCAGGCATTTTTCCTGCCCTCAAGGCAAGAGAGAAACATCAAGCAATTAAATAATGTAATTATAAATTGTGAAAAATACTAAGGGAAAAGGTGATTGTGCTGTTAGGGAGAAAACGAAGAGGTTCTAATTACATGACGCTAAGGATGGCCTTCTCAGAGAAGACTTTATGAAGGGATATTTGAATCAGCATCCAGAGCGAGAACTTACTCACAGAGATGATCACAAAACAACAGCCTGGGCACCAGCCCTCAGGGGGGTCTGCTGGGTAACTGCCAATGTGGCTGACAAGAGAGGAAGATGGCATGCAGGGGCCAAACCACACAGGACCTCGTGGGCCTGTGGAAGATTTTGTATTTTATCCCAAGTATAAATGTGCTTCCTAAGAGCTTTAAACAGCTAAGTGACATCTTTGTTTTTCAGGATGCCTGGGGAAAGAGATCAGAATGGGTGCAGAGTGTGTGCAATTGGGAAAGATAATGGTGGCCTGACCAAGAATGGTTGCGTAACGGAGACTGAAAAATCAGACAGGTTGGAGAGAGATTTCACCAGAAAAGTAGGAATTTGTGACAAACTGGTTGGGCGGGGCGAGGTGGTGATAGAACAAAAAAGAGAGTACAGGATAACAGGAGCCTTCTGGCCTGAGCCACTCTAGATGGATGAGGTGAAAAAAAGCAGAAACAATTTGAAAGACTCAGTTCTGGAGAAGTCTGAGATGCTGCCGTTCATTGGCTAAGATGTGCCAGGAACTACATTAGGTCTCCTACTTGTCCCAGCCGCCCTTTTAGTAGCAGTATTCCCATTTCACAGAAAGCAAACTGTAGATCACAGAGGCTAAAGTAGCATGGCCATGCTCATTCAGCTTGACGTGACAAGTCACACCTGCCACTTAAATCTGGCTGGCTGGCTGGCTGTGGGATAAGCCTTCTTATCACTATACGAAGTTCTTGGAAACTATCTCTACACTTTGAATTTTGAAGACTGTTGATGGATGGAGCAAGCTAGCACCCAAGGAGAGTAAACGAGGTGATACGTTATTTCTTAAATCTAGGTCCTCAGATTTCTTAAACCCAGGTCCTCCAGGTCCATAATGCATGTTTTCCTTTCCCACTCCCATCTATACCTGCAAAGAATTCTGTAATCTTTTGCATACTAGCAAGATATCTAGAACCTAAATGTTGTGCCGTAAATAACAAAGCATTATGCCAGGAATCAACCATAATGAAAGGAGCAACAATAACTAGCAGCAAACAGTATTTTTACTCTCAAGTCATTATATACATCAACTTTAATGAGCAAGAACTCTGAACAAAACTAATCATTTTTCAAAATGAACAAGGCATTCAAGTCAAAAATGCAAGCCAACCAGGGCAGAAGGCTATGAAAGCCAGGGTTTGTGATTCACATAAAAAAAAAAAAAATCAAAAAACTTAAAAAAAATTAGGCAAACAGAAATGACACCACAACCACAAAGAATTTAAAATCTGCAATTCCCAGATATCTCAACCAAATGTCAAATTCAGTACACACGCACCCTAAAAACACTTAAACATTCTCTCTTCTTCTCAATTGCTTTTCCCTGAAGCATGCTGACACTTTGGCAAACTGAAATACCTTTCCTACCTGCCCAGTCCCATGGTTTGCTGTCTATCTGCCCCTCCCTTTCTCTCTCTCTCAGCTCTCTGATGTCCCCCTCAGTTAGTGAAACGCAGAAATTAGGCTTGATTAATAAGCCTGGAAGGGAAGAACTAAATGCATTACTGCCAATTGTGTCTATTACTGAAAGGACCAGCTTGAGACTCTTAAAAAAAGAGGAAATGAGGATGGGGGAGATTTTTCAAAGGTTTTGTCATCTACATTACAAATTACATTTTGTTGGGTCTGATACTTTCAATCATCAAATTATGTTGAGTCTTCTTAGTGGGGGGTATGGTCACATGTAATTTTTATGGCTCAGGGAGAGTTCTCCATGGAGAGAAAATAAAATTAAAAGCGCCACTAATGTGCCTGCTAAAAGATAAATACTCACAAACCACTCTTCAAAATGATAATGCTGTGTCCTGTGTCCTGATTCTTGTATCCACCTCTCCCTGTAGGGGGCTAGCTGCATTCACTACTGCCTCAACTGCACAAACGACAGGATGCTGAAAACCCATTAAGAAAGCTTCCCATGTTCTGTTCCTTCACAACATGACTGTTAACTCCTGGCAACGGAAAGATGAAAGACTTTACAAAAGAAAAAAAAAAAACCTACCTGAGGTCTCCTACCAAAATGAGTACTCAATCCAACTGACAAAAAAGCAGAGATCTATCATGCTAACAGGCGCTTCCTGGGGACACAACAGATCTCATGAGGAACTGCTGAGCCTCATTATACTGGAAAATCCATAAATGTTGGTTCTAGCCATTACCAGGCTGGAGTCATTTTTTAAAATGCAATGCTTTGATGTATTGACGAGGCTAACCTGATGGGTTTGAATCAGCTATGAACCGTGCCCTGCATATCTATTTCCTTCTAAATCCCTAAAACATCAGGGTCAATACTGACCCGCAATTATATCCCATGCTTGCACTGCTCAAGATGCCATTTGAGGCTGAGAAAGTAGTGATTTAGCAACACCAGGCGGCTCTATGATGCTAAAATAACAATGCAACGCTGGATTATAAACCAGGTACTTGGTTTGTAAGACTCAGTGCCGCACAAGGACCCACATTCAAAGCTCACGCCCTTTCAAGTGAAATCTTAAGTTTCCTACGATTTACCCTCTCAAAGTTTCTACCGTGCAAAAAAAAGGAATCACTCTGAAAGTCCCCTCTTCTGGACTCCCCTCCCTATACGGGTTGGCAGCCAAGGGGAATAGGGACGGTGGAGGGTTCATCGTTCAGACAAAATTTAAAAACCTATAAACCAATCACTGTTTCAGAGGAGAAAAGAAACGTTTCAACAAATCGCCGTCCGGCAAGAGAGCATCAGATTTCCATTTCGAGGAAAAAATATCCGAGAAACCAGACATACATTTCCCTTCCTAACAAAAGTGGCCTCTAAATTCCCTTGCCAAGGACACTAAAGAAACGGAGAAGCGAGGAGCGAGCTCGTACTTTTCAGGCAGACGCGCGTGTGCTGCGGGCAGAACACGCAAAAGGGAATGCAGGGAGAGAAAGGTGAACCGGAGGAAGTGCGGTAGGGGCAGGACGGGCGAAGAAGCCCCAGGTGCGGAGAGGGGATCAGGGACTCGACGGTTTAGGAAGGAGGAAGGAGGGATCCCAGACACTGCCCAGAAATCGCGGCCGCCGAGTAAAGTTAATACTCACTCAGTTTCGCAACTGCGCCGCCCCCGCAGGCCGCCCGGCGGGACTGGCCCGGGCTTTGGGGACGCGATGGAGCCCGGAGCTCAGCAGCCACCCGGCACCCGTCCCCGGCCGCGCAGCTCCGCGCGCCTCCTTCCGCGGACCGCGCTCGCACTGGAGCGAGGCCCCGGCGCTTGCCTCCGCGCACCTCCCGGCCGGCGCTAGGTGAGTGAGGACGCCCCTGGCGGGGCTGCGGGAGTGTGCGAGCTTGCGGGCAGCGGCGGCGCCGCAGCCGGCGGGAGCTGCCCCCGGCACCACGGCCGCTTCTGCGGGAGGGCGGGCGAGGTTGGGCGAAGAGCCGGGCGGTGGTCGAGATGCGGGACAGCAGCGAGCACTGGCTGCGGAGTTGGCGACCGGCTCGCTCCCGCGGCCGGAGGCTCTGGGCTGGGGGCCGGGCCAAGGGCCGGGCCGGGCGGCCAGCGGCTCCGCCCCTCGCCGAGCGGCGGTCTGAGCGCGCGAGAGGAGCGGTGCGGGGCGCCCCCCTCGGCCAGGCGCTCGGGTTACAGCCGTGGCTCCCGTCTCTCCCGCCCGCGTCTCCCCGGTTCTCCGGCGCCGGGAGAGACAGTGTAACGGAACTGGGACGCCAGCGCTGCATTGTGGGAGCTCTTAAAACGGCGGGGAGTACGGTAGGGCCGCTCCGGCCCACCGGGCCACGTTCGCTCCGGACCCCGCTGCCTCTCCGCCCGCTACACACTCCCAGGCCACCGAGGCCTATGGGCCGGAGAGCCAAAATGGTGAGATGACCGGTGCCTCACTGCCTCTCACAAGAGCAAAATCTTTTGTAGCCCGGGGTGACTCTCGAAAACTGCCCTCTACGGTCACCCCGGAAAGTAGGCGGCTTTCTCCGTAACCAAAAAAAAAAAAAAAAGCCCTGCCAACCTCCTGGACTGAGTTTGAATGGCTTTCGTCTGGAGTTGCAGTGATTCAGCGACCCCCTTCTCAACAGCAGGCAATGACAGAGACAAATAACAAAAAAACAGGGAATGAATCAGACACGAGTAACCGAGTTTAGAAAGAGCTGGGCTCAGATTCAGGACCCTCCCTCCCCTTACCTCCCTTTAAATATTGCAAATAATTAAGGAAGGAAAGAAACAGTGCTTTCATCTAGAAATGCAGATATGTATATTGCTTTCACTATTCCACATTTTTTTTTGGCGTGCAATTACTCTAGCCAGTGGACTAAATTCAGACTTGGGTCCGGCTTGTGCTCACACATGCCCGTAACTCTTCAACAGTTATTAATTTGCAGAGAAGTTGGGGGGGGGCGTGAAAATAATGGATGAGATGCAAGACAGCATTCCAATGATAAAAATGTCCCTTTTAATTCTCCAGATATTTTTTATTAATTATCAAAACAAGAATATTACATTGGAAGCACAACTTGTTACAGCTCATCTTTCTCAGGGCCTGATATGTTTTGTTTGTCTTGAGTTTGCGTTGGTAGGCTTTTGGTTTCTTGTTTTTCGACCTTTAGTTACTGCACAGCTCACTAGTTCCTCTACCTCAGAGGTTAATTGAGGAGAGAGAAATGGTAAGACTCAGATTTGGCTAAGCAACATTTGGAGGATTTGGGGAGAAGAAGAGTTCTCTTCGATCCCAAGGTGAAAACCAAGGGAACGTCATTTAAAGATGATTCTGTAGGGCAAGGATCCTTTTCTGAGTTTTCCAACCTTAACGCAACCATTTCCATAGCTCTCATTCCCTCGTGACCCTTTCAGTCCACTGAACATTCAGTCACCACCTAAATTGCCAAGTCTCATGGAAAATTTTAATCCCCATCCTTGTGGCATTTGCAAATGTTGACTTCTCCTTCCTTCTCTGAACTTTCCTCCCCTTTTGTTGTTGTTTATAGTCATTCCTCTTATGTGGTGGTGTGCGGCTATTGGTAAACCTGGATTCCGGATCATACCAAGTAGAAGAGCCTTAGTACAGTTTCTGTTGGTCACCAGTAGGGACCTGACATCGATTTCATCATACATCCAGGGCTGAACAAGTTCCCTGACTCATGACATCCAACTTTCATGAGACTAGGGTGTAAATCAGGATGAAATGTACTGTGATCCGATAACCATGGTCACTATTTAGAAGCACTTACTTGTGTTGATACAGCCCCACCTATAAACCGGAATGTGCCTTACCGACGGCTGTTGAAGGCAGTAAATTTACCTCTGTTCAATCCTGGATAAATCCAGATCAATCTGTTCCCTACCTCAGTCCCATGTGGTTAATGCATTCTTTCTTCAGTGTATAGTGCAATTTGTTTTAAGCTTTCTTAGCTATAATCACATCCCTGTTAAGCCTCCCTCAGATCACACCAAATGTCTTTGACAGGAGTTGTAAACAACTATTTCTGGTTTCTAATTATAGTCGCAAAAAGTAACCTAACTAGAAATCAGTGAGCGTTCATGAACTTCAGGCTCTTCGACGTAATCAGATTTGAATTCCAAGAAAAGCATCTGAAAGGATAGATTCAGAAAAGAGGAGAATACCAAGGGAGAGAGACTTATGGGGAAAACAGTGGGAATGAACAGGGCAGGGTGGGGGCAGGAGGGATAGAACCTACAGATATATAATTATGTATAAATTTTCTGTTGCTAACTATAAACAAGTGACTGTGACTTAGTGGATAAAAACAACAAGAATGTGTTATCTTACAGTTCTGGAGGTCAGAAATCAGAAAATCAAGGTGTGGACTATGTTCTATCTGGAGGCTCTAGGGGAAAATCCAGTTCCTTGCCTTTCCCAGCATCTAGATGCCATCTGCATTTCTTGGCTTATGGCTTCTTCTCCTATCTTCAAAGCCAGTGACATAGCATCTTCAGATCTCTCTTTCTCTATGGCTGCTGCTTCATGGTTAGGGAACCATCTCTTAATGTAGGTGGGCAAAGATAATAGGAATTGGTGTAGATATGTTTCTAGTCTTATATGTTATGAACTGAATTGAATTATTTGCAGGAAGAGATGGCAGTGTCCCTATTACTAGTCAAATCATCAAAGGGATTTGCCGAAATGGTCACTCTGTAGTTCAATCAAATCATGGGTCTCTCCGGTTCAGTTACTTGTGAAACTGAAATCCAAGGTATTAACACACTAGGAAAACCAAGTTCGAATCTGCAGTTCCTGAGTATAAATCCCTTTCTCTGGAAATCCCTGGCAAGTCATATTGCAAGTTTGAGAAATATATGTCAAGACCAGCATTTCCCAAACTGGTCCACCACGAACATCACCCTATCAGGTGGGTTGCTGAGAAGAGAGGTGCTCCATGCTTAAACATGGTCCATGGAACACAGCTGTGACTGCAGGTTAGGCCAGCCTAGAAGCTCATCAGTGGGTCACATCCAAACACGGCAAAGCGTCAGGAAATCCTTTCATGAGGAAGTCCAAGGGATAGACAAACATTTTTGTCACAGCAAATAGGTGTGTGTGCTGGGAGGAATAAATTATGGACTTCTGCATATAATATTAGTTTCTTTTTCCTGTAGCCCCACCTATCTTTCTTTTTCCCTCCTCCTTTCCCCACTCCCTTTTTCACCCAGACTACTGGGAGCTCTGCGCCCTCTCCAGCAGTGGTTCGGGACCACTGCTCAAGTCCCCTGTGACGTTACTCTGAACTTGCTCCTTTATTTATGGAGCCGGCACTCCCCTCTCCCAAGCCCACCCCCAAGCCTGCCAGAGGGCCTGGCTCAGACTGGGAACTCAATTATTAGTTGAAATAACAATTAAACAAATGAATGACAATATAAATGGAATAAACTACTGCCACCTGTTCCCGAGTTATGATTTTTTTTTATTTTCTTCATTCTAAACTATAACTAGCTAAAGTCCTTTTTTTCTTTCATTAATAAACACAAAAAGAAACATAATAAGCTATGGTATTGTGCTAGGTTCCAGGATTACAAAAATCAATTTGATATAATTTTATCCTTCTATGAGCTCACAGTTCATTTTGTGAAACATATCCTAAAAAAAGAAAATGAGACGGAAAGTGCTAGCTGCCTACCCCACTCCCTTTCTCCCTTCTTTCTTAGTAACAAAACCCTGACTTTGTGCCCAGTGACAGATTTCATTTCACAACCTTCCTTGCAGATCAGCATTACTAAGTGTAGGCCCATGGTATGTGTTTGGAGGGTGTTGTGTAGGGCTTCCAGGAAAACTCCTTATTGGTGTGTCTGGTGGTGGGGTACTGGCAGGGCCAACTGAAGCCCTGTTCTTGCCTGGAACATGGATGTGATAGCTGGGGTTACAGCAGTTATCTTGTGACCTCAAGACTATATTGAGGCCCAGTCATATGCTAAAATTTGTACAAATAAGGTCATTTAGAGTTATTCAGCCTATCTTACAAGCCTTTATTTAGTCACTAGTAGTGATAAGTTTGGAAGGAAAAGAAAAAAGTCACCTCTTCCCTTTGGTATATGTGTGTGTAAAAAGCAAGAAAATATGGTATTCTTTCCCATTCCTAAGGAAAATCTTATGTACATACTGAAACACCGGAGAGATCTATAAATACTGTGATTTATTTGATCAATATAAATGGGCTTTTTAGAAACAACCAATAGTACTCAGATATGTGGAAATTTTAAATTTAATGATAGTTTCTTCTTAAAAAAATATTTAGTTACCAAATCATCAGACTGGGCAGGAGGGTGATAATCAGTCTACTTTGCTAGCCAATGAAGTATAGTATGGAAAGAAAATAAATTGGAAACCACCACACATTCTATCAAAAGGGATACAACCAAATGTATTCAGAAATAGAATTTAAAATGTGATTGGGTCTTTATTTAGGTAGATTTTTGAGAAGATAACCCCATGGTTGTTTTTTGAGAAGATAACCCCATGAAAATGAAACAGTCTTGGTTTTTTAATTGTAGGCTTAGAAGAATGGATTTAGTCAGCTGAAATTAACTATAGGGGATTCTACAAAAGCTTATTCTAGGATCAGTGTATTGGGGAAATCAATGAATGCGGTAGCTGATGTTATAAATACATGGAGTAAAAATCTGGTCTATCTGGCATTCTTTCAACCAAGCGCCACTCATCAGTCTCCCTACA